AATCCCGCTACCGCCGACCCGACCCGCGCCCAGCAGCTGCGCTAGTGCCGCGACCAATACAGCTCCCCCCAGTCACGTGCCGCCCGGAGCCGCCGCACAGCCAATGAGGCGGCACGCTCCGGACACCGTCGCCCTCCCCTCCCCGCCGAAAAATAGTTGCGTACTCCAGGCCATATCCCTAAGACGGGAGGGTTCCGGTGAGAGTCGCTTCCTGAAAACACACATTTCGCTGCATTTTGCACTAGCTGAAACGACGGCGAGCTGTTGCTCTCAGCACCGGGAGCAGCCCTACCAAACACAGTACACGTCACCGACATTAAATGCTTCAGAGGGACTAATGAGCAGCCATGCGGACTGGACAGCACTGTCGGGGGGGGAGCTTCCCCTGAGTGGCTACCGCATTCCTCTTTAACGTGGATTCATCCACAGCGTTAAGGGGAACAAAAAATAGTAAATCTAATAAACCCACACCATTCGGCCGCCAACAGTGAAAAGCAGGACACAAGGGTATGTGAGAAACACTCGCTCGTGGATAAAAACGTAAAGAGGACAAAGTCTTTGAAGCAAAGATAAAAAATTATTCAAGAACAAAATAAACGAGTCAGCTGACTAGGGTCCATCTCAAAAAGAGCACATTTCGTTACAAAACTTCAGGTATTTATGCCCTCCCCCGATTGCCCAAGAGCCCTTTTCCCATTGGTTTGGTACTTTATGGCGCACATTCTTTCACGACCGGTTAGCCTATCACAAACTCGATTCACATTTTTCTCCTTTTAAGGAGTTGTTTTTCTAAGTTACATAGCCCTGCTCCTGTAGTCGACATACAAAATAGCTGAAGCAAAACAATCCCTGAGTTCATCTCTCACAGGTATACCTCTGCTTGACAGTTAATGCAAATGAGGCTAGACAAGTTAAAGCACTAGTTGCATCTGAATAACTGTGCAAAGACACTTTCATTTCAGAATAACAAGGCTGCGTTAATCTCAACCAATATTACACTGCTATGGAAAGGACACACCACTAAGTACTTAAGTCATCTAAAATCCGTTGCCAGTCTGAATACACCTACTATGCACACATTACAGAATACAGAATATGATTTCTGTTAATGCACATGTGACCAATACCCCCTGCTCCTGATCCCTGGTAGCATGACTAGCATAACCAACACCATTTTCTAAGACAAACAGCCATAATATGTAAGCGTGCTGATCGTATATCACCCCCTTCTCTCTTCCCTTTTTCAACACTGTGGTTGTCACCAGGATGTGATGACCCCTGTTATAGAACAGATAACCCCCCTGTTAGCATTAGGACAAGACTATTTGCCCACCAAGCATTGTTGCTGTGATAAATAACTTAGTCCCAAATCGGGTTGCAATTTAAGTTTACAATTTATTGAATGAATAAATGCAAGCAAACAGCGCTGGGTGCGCCGGGAGCCTCTGCTCTACCAAGACGCACACCGTACAGTTCCTGTTTCTGGTTTATATCCTTTCTGCTAATACACATTCTTTAAAAGGTGGGTCTATGCGAATAAATTCCAGGAGTAGGCTTATCTCTTTCTGCGCATGCCCTCGGGGTCTTCTTGGCTCCCATCTGGTGGTCTTCCTGGCTGCTTTCAGGATTACCCCAGATTCCACGTATGCGCATGGCCTTCGTATGTGCATGGCCTTCCTCAGCTCACCCTTAGGGTGACTCCAGATTTTTATGGCTTGACACCATACGGTTAACAGCAAAACCGGTCCAGACTAACACACAAGTATGTCTTTTACAAAAAGCTAAAACTATATACATTAACCACTCCATTTCTCTTAGGCCTGCGGTTATACAAGGGTATATAAGACAGAAAGTCACATTTCACCATGCGGCCCTAGCATTAGTCCATATTGACACGAATCAGGTGAACACATTTCACAACAAGCATAGCTGTAAAATGTAACTGGAGATCTGAGGCCATGATGAGGCCAGTCTCTGTCTGGATATTCACTGCAGTGCAAAAATAATTTAGTGACTTCATCTTCCATTTCAAGTTGGTCTTATTCACTGAATGTTGACACTTGACAGTTACTCTGCATGGTTTCTGCACTGACTTATTGCTATAACAACCAAGGCCAACCAACTTTGTTATTTGCCCCGTTGGAGGGTCGGAAGCGGAAAAGCATAGTGGGGTCCCACCTGCAAGGAGGAGCGGACAGGACAGGTGACCCAAAACTCACCAACAAGGGTATTCCATCCCATCTGCCTCATGCTCAGTATAAAGGCTGAGGGATCAAAGGGTCAGCTCTCTTCCTTCAATGGCCGACGTCTGAGGAGGACTCTGTTAGTCTGCCTGCGTTCCCGATCCTGAATGCAGATCCGGAATCCAGTTCCCGTCCGTCACTGAGTCCAGCCTGGGACTGCCCCAGTGCCAGCCGGTGTCATGATTGTCATCTTGGGAGCTTGATACGGTTTTGTATATATGTCATTATTTCTTTTTTATTTTATTATTAATATTTCATTAAAGTAGTTTAGTTCCTTCTAAACTCGTAAGTTTCTTTTTCCTCCTCTGCCCCTCTCTTTGAAGAGGGGTAAAGGGGAGCATCTGTCGGTCCCATCTGGGGTTCCCCAGGTCCCCAGTAGCCAATTTGGCCTAAACCACGACAGATTAATTGGCGCCCAACGTGGAGCACGAGCAGTGCTCGACCAGAGCTGTGATAAATTGCCTGAATAGTTTGAATTCCAGTTTGCTCAGAGATTACAACAGACAGTTTACATCATGTCATTCTTAAACGGAATATTGTATCATGCCTTTAAACAGCTTTGTTTGAATTTAGTTCAGTCAACTTGGTTTAACCTGCCAATGTGTTGCAAAGTTTATTTGTTCTTTTTGTTTTTATGCGAAGGTTTTAAGATGCTGTTTTGGTGTGGTTCGTAATTCAGATGTATAACATGATGAGTTGGGTAACGGCTCTACCTGTATATCTCGGGCATCACATGATGGATTCTGTTATTAGTTATACTTTCGGTTTTACCTGGGGAAACAGAATTATGATAGCACTGTGCTGGGAGGACCATCTTCTTCACGGTTTTGGAAGCGATGACCTCATGTGTGCCTGCGCAGGGACCAAGGGCGCGAAAAGAGCTGGAAGAGGCTTGTAGGAGAGCAGCACTTCCGGTCGATCTGCGCATGAGTAAGATCCCTATATAAAGGGAGCCTCTGATGTAAATGTTGTACACCAGCACAGTGCTATCATAATTCTGTTTCCAAAGGTATGTTTTTATTGTTGGTATAAACTGATTCTCACTTGTTTAAGCAATTGGCCCTTCTGGACTCAGCACAAAAGACATCAAAACCAAGATCCGAACAGCAGCACTTTTGAGTGTACAGTTAATTCTGTACTATTCAGATGTTGACACCTGGAAAGGATCAGATGATTTAGACCCTGAAAGTTCTTCTCTGTCTCCGATAACTACAAGTGGTGCCTAAGGAGAGCACTTTAGCTGAAGAAATCCACCTGAAGTTAACTGAGATAATCTCAGACTAAAATTCCCATACTCTAGATCTTGTTGTGTACATTGACCTAAACTACTCAAAGTTTTAACACTTCTTTTTCACAGCAATAAAGTCTCTTACAAATGTGGTTAAAATCGTTGTGAATCTGGTCAGCCTCATTAAGTGTCTAGTGCTACTTTGTTCCCAGTGAAAAGGGAACCATTGTTAAAAGCACATCCTCTCCTCTTTGTAACTTTGCTTCTTACCTTGCAAGCATCTCTCTTTGAAAATTTATTTTGTCCTCCTGCACACAACATGTTGCTGGTTATTTTCATGTATTTTCTATATTTGCTCTTGCAGAATTTTTTTCTATCAAAAATTTTAATAGTTGTTTCCTGAAGATATGTTGCTGGCTTTCCTGAAGATGTGATTCCCCAGCTGGCCACCTTGTACTTTGTGCCAGGTTTGATATCCTCACAAGAGTCAGGCAGAGGCAAAAGTTGTGCATATTTATTCAGCTTTGCAATACCGTTCAGCTGGAAAAAAAAGAAGAAAAAAAAAAAGCTTTCTCATACAGAAAGGAAGGAAAGTATAATCACTAGTTTCAATTGGCATTTGGTCTCTTTTTACCAATATTTTCTCTCCTAATAAGTCACTTTTCAATATTTAGAAACTGATTCTGAACTTAATTGCACCTTTGCAAATCCAAAAGAATTTCCCTGGTGCCTGTATAGCAATTCCCTATCTACGGCAGCAGTAGTGAGTTCAAGCCCGGCTTCCCGTTGATTACAGTAGAAAATTAAAACCTACACAGGAGTTAGGCTGTTGGATCTAAGTCCTATTCGAGAACCTAACTTGCCACTGAACTTCTGTGTTGAAATGAAAAAAGATGAAAACAAAAGCTATAAACAATTAGACATGACAGCAGCAACATAAATTGGGGAAATGAGATCTTGAACTCTTCAGATTGCCAAGTTTTTGCTCTGAGGGATTCAAAAGGGCTTAAATGATCCAAACTGTCTGTGTTTTGTCAGCCTTTACCTGACAGATTCATCCTTCAGCAGAGGCCAATTTAAGCCTATAAATGAAAACACAGCAAAACACTAACACATATCCTCAACACACTTGGTAAGGGCTCACAGCTACTGAACAGACATTTTCTCTTTTACACATGATCACCGCACCATGATTCATTTCACAGGTGGTTATACTTGTTGCTGAATGGTTGTCAGTTAAATGATTCTGCCTTTATACCTTTTAAAAAAGTCGCTACAACAAATCACGTGTTTATAAAAAAAAAAAATCCTTACGATTTATTATCTCCAGTGCTGGTGGGAATTTTCAAAGATGGAAAGTTTATCCCAAGTCACTTGGCACTCTACTAGTGCAGAACTGTAGAGATGGGAGGTGAGCCCTGGTGCTAACACTATCCCTGTTCCTGTGTCAGATTCAGACAAAGGATTTTAAGGTATCCACGTCACTCTGGAACAGAGCTGTAACTTTCAGCTCTAGAAATACTACTTCCTAGTGATCTATTTTGGTGGTGTGTTCATACTCACCAAATAACCTGGTGCTCCTGATAAGCTGGTGGTGGCCACCAGAAGCAGCCAGTTGTTATGGTTTGAGAAACCCATAACAATTTATTGTCATTTAGACAATCATTCTATCGCCGATGACCCCTCCCCACCCGGGAAGGGGAATCGGGAAAAACAAGGAAACCCAGGAGTTGAAGTATAAACAGATTTAATAGAGTAAGATTAGATAATTAACATTAACAGCACTAAAGAACCAATATTGATCCCAATACCAATACAGAATATGCAAAGATTATACTCAGCCCATTCTATCAGTAGGAAGCTGTGCACTCCCAGCAGTGGACAGTAAATGTCAGACACTGTGAGCACTACAGCTTCAGGAGGAAGGGCAGGCCTCAGGGGTCTGGCACCGGGGCACAAAGTTCTCAAGAAGGCAGCCCTCAAGGGAGAGAGCCTGAACTTCACAGCAAACTTTCTAATTTATAGTGAATGTGACATTGATGGTATGAAATAATCCTGTTGGCCATCTTGGGTCAAGTGCCCGGGTCTCGCTCCTCCTCATCCCTGCACCTGGTAAGATCAAAAACTCTGAGACCTTCAAACCCACACACCATAGCTGGCTACAAAGTAAATATTTTCACAAATTCAGACGCCAGAGTCTTCTAAAAGTGCAGTCTTCCCAAGTATTAGAAGAGAAATTAATCTTGTGTCGCTCAAACCAGGACACCAGTGAAATGAACCTGTCTGCCTTTGCAATGAAGCAGATGGAGAATACTCATTAACATCTGGGTGAAGGAGCTGCTCACACCTGGATGGTAATAAGTCTCTGGGAGCACAGATGTCTGTAAATGCTCCAGCTAGTTCCAGAAAGGGACATTGCTAGTTTCCCCCCTGTGTCATTGTCATACCAAACTGGTGATAACACCTAAATATTAGAAATCAGGTTCGAGTCATCACTTCCCTTTCCACATAATTCCACCAATTATTTCAGAAGTGTGGTAATATTCATAATATACTGTACCTAGTCAGTTATTCTAAGTATACATCTTGATCTTTCACATAAAACAATTTCTTGATTATCACAGGGATAACATTAAAGAATAGCCTGAATAAAGACCCAAGATTTCTTAGACATTGTACAGAAGTCATGATATTACTTAGGATATAGACAAGATGATGTACAAGTCTTATCTTTATCAGGGACTTTGGATTGGCACTGAAACTGCTGGTACCAGGAAACCAGTCCTCCAAAACCATTTTGACCATCTATGGATTTCCTGCATAGAGACTGCCCTCTCCCTATTCAAAACACCCATGACTGCCTCCATGTCAATCTGAGTGCTGGATTAACAGAGTTCTCAGTGCAGGGATATGTGAAGCATGAGCCGGGCTGAGCAGGAGCTGGTACGCAGGAAATTCTTACAGTCCTGCCCCACTTTGGCATCCAGGATGATGGTGTTGTCAAGGTCATGTTTCCATGCCTCATTCTGCAGTGTCCCGAGCCTTCTTCATTCTGTGCTCCTAGAGCTGAATTCATCTATGTCCTGTATTATCCATACTTTTATTTTATGTGGTTACCCCAAATAATAACAATAGGTTTCATCCCCATTTTTGCTCAGTCCAGCACAAGGCATCCCTTTGGGACACAACTGTGACCCAGATTCCATTGCATACATCACTTCAGCACTGCCTTTGAAAAATGACTAAAGAACGTGATTTGTGTTTTTTGAGGGGTTGCTGCAGTGAGTGGGTGTCCTGGTTTCAGCTGGGATAGAGTTAATTTTCTTCCCAGTAGCTGCTGTGTTTTGGATTTAGTATGAGAATAATGTTGATAACACATATTGTTTTAGTTGTTGCTAAGTAATGCTTATATTAAGTCAAGGACTTTCAGCTTCTCATAGAAATTGAGAGGGAGCATAGACAGGACAAGCTGGCTTAACAGAATATTCCTTACCATAGACACCATGCTCAGTATATAAATGGGGGTTGGCTGGAGGGCAGGAATCTGCGATCACTGCTCGGGATGGGCTGGGCAATTGGGTCATTGGGTGGTGAGCAATTGTATTGCATCACTTTATTTTGTACATTCTTTTACCATTATTATTATTATTTTCTCTTGTTGGCTTTTATATCTTCTTGTCTTAATTGTCGTTATCTCAGTCCACAAGGGTTTTTTTTCTCCGTTTTCTCCCTCTTCTCCCTACCCTACTGGGGGGTGGGGGGAGTGAGTGAACAGCGGCGTGGTCCTAGTTGCCAGCTGGGGTTAAACCACGACAGTGAGTTAAAGGGAGTTTTAGAGCACAGAATAGGCTGAAAATGTCATCCCTGCTCAGAGTGCCAGTGATCCTGTAACCTTATCTAGATTAGTACAACCAAAAGCAGGGTGTTCTGTGATATTGTTAAGCTATCTATACAATGTACTCTTTGATATCAAAGAATAGCCAAAATGATCATCGGCAAAATTCCTTTTATAATAATACAACAGTAATTAACACAATACCTTGAGGAGCATTTTATCATTTTCCTTGGAAGACCTGCCAACCTGGGGATTGGAAAGTAGTACATAACCTTAAATATCTGCTGTTCTTTTTCAACTATAGATGCTTGATGGACTCCAAGAATACTCTAACTTCTGATTTGTTTAATCTGTAATTTAAAGAAAGCACAGGGAGAGAAGGTCACTACTGGAACTGAGCAATATCTCTCAAGATAATCAAAAGCCATGTAACATAATACTCACAATTACATTTTACAACAATGTGATTAAAACATAGGGAAGGATATTGTTCATTTTGATGTTTTGACATGAGCTTGTATTTTCCTCTACAAAGTAACGTTTCTTTACTGTAAATCTACTCTGGTGAAATAACATTGCGATAGCTGACCTTCAGGGGATTCCAGAGTTTGGAATTAATTTCATGAAAAAGGCTACTGGCTTTTTATAGAATCATAGAATGGTTGCATGGCCTTCCTCAGCTCACCCTTAGGGTGACTCCAGATTTTTATGGCTTGACACCATACGGTTAACAGCAAAACCGGTCCTTGTAAAAGGTTTTTACATACTTGTAAAAGACAAGTATGTCTTTTACAAAAAGCTAAAACTATATACATTAACCACTCCATTTCTCTTAGGCCTGCGGTTATACAAGGGTATATAAGACAGAAAGTCACATTTCACCATGCGGCCCTAGCATTAGTCCATATTGACACGAATCAGGTGAACACATTTCACAGTTGCCAGCCAGGATGTGGTGCCACCAGATATGGAACAGGGAAGCATAACAGCACATGAGATACTGACTATAAAATCAAGCAGCTGTGAGTCCTCAGACCAGAACTGCTGCTGGATGGCAAAACCCATGATCCCCCAGTGGTCAGGGATGCCTCCACCATTGTCCTCTTCCTCCAAGGACTGAATGATTCATGTTCTTTTAGGTAAAGTCTGAATTTAGATTATGATTACTCCAGCCCTCGGATCATCCTCGTGGCTGATTTAGGGAGAGTCCCTTGCACAAGGACTTCTGGTACTGATGCCTTTCATTAATCTTTTAATGGTCTCCTTTGGACGTATGACCTAATCCCAAAAAGGACTGAAATATGCCTGACTAACTGTATCACATGCTGATTATTAAGAATTTGACACAATATGGTGACTTAAAAGTCCAGGTAACTAAAAGCTAGATAGTAAGAAAGCTACACCGATTACTAGAAATTCTTATTTAACTACATCAATGGGATGTCAGTACACACATCGATACTCAGGACTCATTCTGAGCATTATACATAAATGTAAGTGCTCTGATAAAGTGGACATCTATGCTGGATGGCAAAACCCATGATCCCCCAGTGGTCAGGGATGCCTCCACCATTGTCCTCTTCCTCCAAGGACTGAATGATTCATGTTCTTTTAGGTAAAGTCTGAATTTAGATTATGATTACTGTATCACATGCTGATTATTAAGAATTTGACACAATATGGTGACTTAAAAGTCCAGGTAACT